TCCAGCTAGTCCTTTCAGTAATTTGGGTGGAATGTCTTCGGGACCAGATGATGCCGAATCATTTAGTGCCAACAGCTCCCGATTAACAGTAACTTCTGCGGAATATACATAATCAATCTTTAGACCGTCGTCTACGCCATAGTTTGGAGGGATGAATCCGCCTTCAACCATAAAGATTGATTCGAAAATTTGTAAGAGATGCCTAGCTTTTGCTCCATCCACACCGATTTCTGTTTGTTCGCTGCTTTCAGAAGGGAGACTGGGTCCAGGTTTCGTGTGGTCTTTCTTAAGTAGCCATAGAATAACTTAGTATTTGTAACTGTCCGGTTCAATAAACCTTTTTGAAAATCTTGGCGTGTCCTGAAGATAAGTCGTTTCAGGAGGCCCCTCTGCACGTTGTATGCATTTAGGGTACCGGATTTCTATATGCGAGTGATTTACTCCACAGGCTCTGCTTTTTATTAACCTCTTTCCTCAGCGCTTAAGTCGGCCACTGGGGTCAGTTGTTTAGTTTCTTCCGTGATATGGGACAGCGCTTTTATTTTGAAATATGCAAAAATTGCAACAGATCGCTTTTGTTATGCAAAAGTGCATAAAAATACTTATGAAACGTCAATGTTGACAAGGTGAGGCGTTTGCATTTCAGCCACGTACAAAATGTTCACTGTATATCCACTATCAAATATTCGGCTGTACCAACTTTGGTGTAAATTAAAGTTCTACTGAAATCTAGCGGGTACTGTGTTTGTAGTCATTTCTGTTAGGTGAGTGTTTCAAAGTTCGAATTGGCCTTTAACAGTTGATTACCCAGACGTCTCTTGAACACGTTCGCTGTGGGTGAATGTACAACAGACTCTGGTAAGTAGTTCCACTGTCTAATGACCCTCTCCGAGAAGCGGAATGAACGTTTGTTTCTGCGACTCAGTTCCTTCTTGGACTGGCAATCGTGTCTTGTGACTTTCCTTCTTGGGGCCGTTTGAAAGAGATCCTCCCACGTGACATTCAGACCAGTTCCTCTTAGAAACTGAAACGTTGCTATAAGGTTGCCTCTCTCTTGTCTATAATGGAAGGGAAAAATATTTAAAACAGTCAAACTTTGCTCGCATGTAAACTGCTTAATTTCTGGGACCGCCTTAGTAGCACGTCATCGGAAATCTTAAAGTATCCATATTTATTTCTGAAGCCAAAGCCACCAAGCGTGTATTGCATATTGCAAATGCGGTTACACGAATTTTCCATATACTTTTCCGATGACATCTGCATTCAAGTTAACGAACGTTTTTCGTATTGCGCTCATGGTCAACGATGTTCTCGCTGCGACTTTGAAGTTCGTCCAGAACATTTTGAGTTCGTCAAGGTTATCGAAGTATCCTTGCACAATTCCAGTATGAAACTTGATTTTGTGGAAATTTTCACTTTGGGTTAATTGGCCGGCCGTGTGACTTTCGTCAGGGTAACAAGCGTCCTCCACTAAGTGAGCTAAACTCTGCCATATCCGCCCTTCAACTGTTCCGTCGCGACTCTTCCACTAAAAGAGCTCATGAAATACTCCATTGATGAAGGAAGATAAAAATTTCTTTCTCGATGATTCTAACAAATCTGAGTTGTTTAATACATTTTTTGCAAAACCTCTTACGAGGGAATCTGAACCGGTTATGTCGTTTCATTAGGTGACTCGTTTCGTTCGGCAGATTTCAATAATTCGATTGAGCCAATTGTGAAAAATTCGCTGCCAAGCCGTAACAAACAAGATTATCATAGAAGTGCATCCGGTGGATCCTAGATAATTACTTA